GTACTGGACTAGGATTCAAATACAGGTATCATTCCAGCTCTGCCACACCACTGTCATCCCACCTCTGGGCCCCATTAGTTTCATCATTTGTCAAACATGGATAACAATACTTACCTCCCTCTTTGTAAAGGACTTTGATCACTACAGATATTTATGCAATATTATTACGAGGGCCAAATACAACCTTACAAAAATTGCTATTGGGACACAAGACTTATGAATCTTATAGCCAAATGACACTTAGTAACTATGTAGAATTAAAGGGCAGCCATGTTGTATGATGGAAAGTAGATCTGGGTATTAATCTTTCACATTCTGTAAGATGTTAAACAGGAAAAAAAAAATCTTGAAGTTTACATTTAACTGTCCCAAAATGATGCTGTAACTGTGAGTGGCAGAATTGTGACAATTTAACTCAGTTGCACTTAGTTTAGGAACATAGTGCAGCCATATTTGTTAAAATGCTAATTTTAGGAAAAACACCAGAAACTTGATAAGAAAACCATGACTTGTCCCAGCAATAGCGTCACAGCTACTCCATAGAGAGACTGGCCCCCGGGCAGAGGGATTTTTGCCAGTGTAGCTTTTATCACTGAAAAGTAGTAACGTCACCAAAAAGTAAGAGTTCTCTTCTGAAAGATTTTTTTTCTATGCCAAAAAAAATCCCACTAACACTTTGTGAAACCCCAGTGAAAGGCATGGGGGTGTAAACTATTTCATTTTCTCTAATGGGTTGGTTTTCAATAGTTGTTATCAATTTAACTACTATGAGGAAAGCTGAAGTGAGAGTGATCAAGTTTATTTAGCTTCAGCAAAAGTCGCCAGAACAGCACAATCTTAGGAACCAATGACACATACTGATCAACAGTGCAACTCACATGCCAGATCTAGTACAGCTTCAGCTATTCTGGACACAGCTAGTACAGCTAATAGCTTTCCAGTTGTTGCAGCTGACAAAAGCACTCACAATACCCATTGTCAAAGCCAATCACTAGAGAACAAGAGTCCGTTTTAAGAAAAAAAGAACTAAACACTTACGTGTCTTGTGATTTTCCTCACTCTCTCTGTACAGCCTGCTCACTTTCTCCACAAGTTCCCATTTTTCGCAGCATCCTGAATAGTTGACAAAATTTCGAGCAAGTATTTCCTTCAGCTGTCGAACACTCAACCCTTCAATATCTTCCAGACTTGAAATATCAGACAATGATGCTCTTGCTCGCTTTCTGGACATGCTAGGGGTCTGAAACACACCAATTATTTCTTATGCTTTTAACTTTGTCACCAAAAAAATTACACTGTTCTAATTTTAGCTAATCCCTGCTATAGTTGAAAGAATTTACCAATCTTTTTTTTTTTACAATATTTTCAAATATTGATGTTAACATGCAGCACCACACCCTAGTTCACTCAAACTAAATTAACAGCGTGAAGGCTCTATATGGTTTTTTATGTCAGATGCCAAATAGGTCTAGTTTACTCTTTAGGTGGTTCATATGTCTCACCTGCTCTTCTGCGTTTTCTTCTTCTTCTTCTTCATTATTTGAAGAAGGCATTCCACTTTGTCCCTGCATATACAATGAATCAGATCATAACAACCCCTCTGGTACAGTAAGGAAAATGCTTTAAACAGGTCACAGATGACACAAATTGGAAAGCTTATGCTAAAGTTAGCCATTACAGTTTTAAGTGATCAGTCTTGTCCCAATTACCCATGTTCTTCCATTTTCAAGCGCAGGATGTAAAAGACCCTATACCCGCCCATTGGTATATTTAAAAAAAAAAAAAGTGTAGCAGACAGCATTTTTATAAGTTCATTGTAAGACCACAACTACTGGTACTGTACCTGTACAGGTGTTCCATTTTCTGTGCTTCCTCTTCTATTTGTAAGTTCTTGAGAGGACGACACTGATACAGACAGAGAAAATGGATGTGTAAAAAAACTAGAAGTCTGTGACCTTGAAGAATGCAAGCTACTAGTGTCTGTATCCTCAGAACCTAATCCATGATGGCAGAGTACAAGATCCACCAAGTCTTCTTTTTCTCGACAAGTATCTGTTGGTATGTTTCTAAGGATCAGATACTGACGCAGATCCTTGACTTTCAATCGCATTAACTGAGGCCGCTGAAATGCGGTCTCTTGTAACAAGTGACAAGTAGAACATCTTCTGAGATTTTCTTGTAAGACTGAACAAACTGAGCAAAAATCCTTCTTGCAGTCACAACACACATGCTAAACAGGAAGACAAAAAAAGCCATTAAACTGTATGTCAGATATTCACAGGAGTAGAAAATAAATCTATTTGCTATTTCCTTCACACACACCCCTCCATCACCCACTGCTATTCTTATGCTTTCAGCTGACAATCTTAGTATATGTTTTCTGAGATGTCTATGAAACTGGCCTATCAAACAGTTTTGCAGGTATTCTCCAGAGCATTTGTAGGGCTAGTACATTCATCAAGACATTTAATCAATTTTTAAAAAGCAACACTTAGTGTGTATTTAAGTTGTAGGTAACTCAAAAGGACATCCACTTGAAATCTAGTCAATTTCGAAGTGAGTTGCAAGTAATTTCAAGCACTATACCTGCCACCAAGTCTGTTTCTATTTTCTGGGGAAATTTTTAGTGTTTCTCTCACACATAAGGGAAATCTGACTACAGAGGAGAAAGTATGATTATACACAAGGTGCTGGCAAATGTGCCATGTTAAAAAAAAAAATCTTATCTTTCAGGTTTAGTGATCTTAGCCATTAATTCTTACAGTAATAAGAGCAATTTCAGACAAGTTTGATATAAAGTGAGTGTCCTTTTAAAATGTTTTCCTACTCTCAGCAAAAGAATCATCCTCCCCAAGTACTAACTGTGCAAAGCCATGCAGACCATCCATCCCCTCTACTTTATAGATTTCAACTGATGTATCTAAAGTTAGAGGAACCAGACAGCTGTTGAAGGTAGCTTTTTACTTCCAGACTATAGATCCAAGGTATACGCCCACAACAGCTGCATATACTAGAAAGTGGCAGGGTCACAAAGCAAACAATTTGGAGAATAGCCGCTCTGTGGTTGGAAACCTCTTTGTCCTTCATGATACTGCTGCTGCAAATTCTGATCGTGAGACTGCATACAAGGCATCCTCTTTCTGTGAGGACATGACAGTGTACACAATTCCACAGGCCTCATCTTGACTAGAAGAGATGTTTTTGAAAACATTAGCCAACATATTCTAAAACATTTTCCCTTGACTAGACAGTGGAGACTACAGGGGCAATGTCACAGAAGACAACATATAATGACTGCAGTGTAACAGTCATCCAGCACCATTAGAAACACTACTGAAGCCTTGACATATTGTTCCCCTTCCATTCCCAAAGAACTACGTTAAGATATTTAAAATTAAGAGTGTAACCTCATTAGCTGGGATAAAATTACTAAGACTCAGTTCTGATGATTCAAGATACTAACCAGGTTCTAAGCTGGAATCATGAAGATACCACTTTCTGCACTGTGCTACTAGGAAATTAAGTCATGGGAGACAATTATGCCTTCCTCTGAAGTAGTGGCTAGAAGTATAAGTTGCAGTTCCTAAATAAAATCTCCAGAGAGCTCCTCTGAAAAGATATTGGCTAGGACCCTGATGTTTTGGAAAGACAGTTCAATGGCTAAATAAAATGTAAGCTTTTATTTTGACCCTCAAACAAACAAAAAGCAACACTGTTAAAAGCAGTTATACATCAGAGTAATAAAAGAATGTCACTATGGGTATTTCACCGGGGGGGGGGGGAGGGGAGAGAACCCCACAAAACTCCACAGCAACAACTCTTATATCCCTTGTGTAGACATTTTGGCTCAGGCTGGAATGTGGGCTCTGAAGCCTCCCATCCCATCGCACCAGAGCCCAAGCAGCTACATGGCTATTTGTAGCATCATAACACAAGCTTAAGTCTGTGTAGACCTGGGCTCTTGAGACTCTCAGCTGTGGATTGGTTTGTTTTTGCCATGTAGACATACCCTGTATTTTTTTCCAGCTTGCAAAAGCCTCTCAAGCAAGAATGTGACACAAGAATATTTAAGGGAAGATATGAACTGTAAAGGACAAGGTAATTTTCTAATTAGACTCCTATGTCCCCTACACTCTAAGTAGAGCCAAACACTATAATTGAGCTACAAAGCACTACCAATGTATCCATTTCACTCAAAGCCATGTAGGATAACCTCTGTATACAAAAAACTAACTACAGACACCACAAACTTTTTTAAAAAGCTCTTGATTTAGATTTACTATTTCTAATATGAAAACAGAAAAGTCAATGTCACATACTCAACCCTTCCTGGAGACATGCTAAGGTCTTAGGTTGGCATCTAATCTCATCTCTCCTACCACAAGAAACTAGACACCATAGGAAATAATATCTCCACAGCAAAGAAAAAATCTGTAGGGAAAAAGACAGAAAAAAATCTCTTTCCGGATATCACAGGTCAACCCTACAGGAGAATAAATTGTAAGGGACACATCCACAGTAGCAAATAGAAGATGCAGAAGTTAAAGTTCACTTTTCCTGAATCTTCAGGCTGATAAATCTGAATTACAATTCTTCCAATAAGGGGGGAAAAAAAAAAAAGGGATGGTCTAAGGCAGGGGTGGACAAACTTTTTGGCCCGAGGGCCACATCGGGGTTGCAAAACAGTATGGAGGGCTGGGTAAGGAAGGCTGTGCCTCCCTAAACAGCCTGCCCCCTATCCGCCCCCTCCCACTTCCCGCCTTCTGACTGCCCCCCTCAGAACCTCCGACCCATCCAACGCCCCCTGCTCCTTGTCCCCTGACCGCCCCCTCCCGGGACCCCCTGCCCCTAACCACCCCCTGGGGGACACACACCCCCATCCCCTTTCGGAATGTGGCCCTGTGAACATGGGCGGAGGACTCAGGAGGAGCAGGGGCAGCCGGAGAGAAGCGGCGGTTTCCCCTTCAAAGCGCCGCTTCTCTCCGGCCGGCTGTGCGGCCACCCAGTGCTCCTCCTGAGTCCTCCGGCCGCGCTCCCACCACCCACACCGCCTGCCTGCCTGCCTCGCAACCCCTGCAGTGCAGCCCCTCCCCCCCGCGGGAGGTGTGCCGGTCCTGAGCTGCCCGAGTGCCCGGCCCCATGCCAGGGCACCCTGTGTTCACTGTTAAATCTGCCCCTCAGCCGCGCCGCCCGGCCGGAGCCAGCCACGCCGCTGTGCTGCTGGCACGGTGAGCTAAGGCTGCGGGGGAGGGGGGACAGCAGGGGAGGAGCCGAGGCCGGCCGGGAGCTCAGGGGCCAGGCAGGACGTAGTTTGCCCACCTCTGGTCTAAGGGCAACTCTGATGGTCACTTCAGACACGAGTGAAATGGTTCTGCATTTAACAACTTAGAGGACAGGGATGGTGGGAGCTCTAGCAATTAGCCTCAGATTCCTGATTCTCCAGTCACAACTGGCCTGATCTGAATCCCATTGAAGTTAATGGGAGGGCTCCCAGGGATTTCAGAGGACCCTGAATCAGGCTTAAGTTCTAGACCCTGTTTAGTTTAGAGAACCTGAGGTAAATAGTGGTCCTAATTCAAGAGATCTATTTGCATACAGGCAGAGGGAATTGGTACAGCCAAGAGTCACATGAGTCCCTTAACACAACTACCTCAACCACCATAATTAGCCTAGATCGATCTCTCCCCAAATTCTTTGGAATTTTAATAAATTAGCCCTAGGAAAGCTTAGATTGAGACATTATGGACCCTTAGCTACTGCTCAGGCACATTGCCACCAAAGGAATGCAGAGTACAGTAGATTTTAAAAAAATGGAGAAATCTCTGCCAAGAGATTGATCTGTTGTACAGAAAATCTAATAGAGATTCTTACATCAGAAACAGCTGGGCTTCAGTTTATTCTAAGTTAGCTGCAGAGAACTGGGTCACTGAGTGGTCACGATAATGCTGGCCTGCCAAATTGACTCTAATCTTACAGATTACATTATTTTTATATAAATACATAGAACAGTCAGTCATCTATGCGTTGGGTTTTGAAATACATCCATAGTTTAAACAAAATTCCAATCAATTTTATCTGGTACATTTTTCGTTTACTCACCTGTTTGACTGTAAGTGAAGTGATAGGCTACTGCACTGGTTAGGTTTTCAACTTCCTAACCAACCTTATTCCTCTGACACAGGGCTAAGACTGCAATTAAGTTCACTTGGTTTCTAAGGAAAATGCTACAATACTAATTGTGAATTTGAGGCTTTTCTGTTGCTCAGCCTCTCCATCACTCAGTTGTTCAGCAACTTCGTTGGTTATTATTTTGAACAAGCAATATAGGAAAACTAATCCTTTCTGACATCAACTTCCTCTGTGACCTTGAGCAAATCATTAAAACCCCTCCACCTGGTGCCTCAGTTTTACTATCTGTAAAAGGGGGAAATACTTCTCTCCTGACAGGTCTACAGATTAGTTAGTGTTAGTACAGCATTATTTAATAAATTATACTCACCTTTTTCCTAAAAACTGAAAATGAAAGCCCACAGGCTTTGCAGACTATATTGGCTTCTGAAGATGGATATGCTGAGAAGTCTGTATTTGGTGCAAATCTGAATGGGCCAGTACCTCCCCCAAATCCTGGTTGTTGGCCACGGACAGCTCCGGTACCCATGACTTCATTCAGCAACCCACAGCAGGAAGCCCACATGGATGTGGCTCCCGCCTGAAAACAGTAAAGGCAAAAAGGAAACTTAACTCCATTTTAAGATTCTTACCCGTGCATAACTTGTTATTGAAGAGATGCTTCATTCTGTTACACCATCATCCCACTAGTGCTGTGTATGAAATCCCAGAGTACTAGTAACTTAACACAGTAATAACTCTTAGAATGGTCTTAGTCCTGTGCTTCCCAACTGGGGTCTGAACAGTTAAAATAAGCAAAGGGTCTCTTTTGAGAGCAGTTTGGTGGGGGGCGTTGCACAAGCAGGCAAGGTAGAGAACTTGAAAAGGTAATGTTTTAGGAGAGTGGATCAGTGAAAGAAACAGACTAAGGATCAGTCAGCAAAGACACAGGAACCCACAAGGAAGACTGGCAGTTAGTGAGCAGAAACACTCGAAGGATGAGAGAAAGAAACCAGCAAATCAGGCCATAGCCAACAGCACAGGCTCAGCAAAGAATTTGCTGCTGGAAATGGAGAAAGGTGATTTTGTGGAAGCAGATTACACCCAGACAAGAATACCTGATGCGTGGGGTTTCTGCATTTGAGAGCAGAGGCACTGGAGTTCCCGGTAGCCTCTAGGCGACAAAACCACATTAGTTTCTATTTGGTTCATGTCTGAAATATATTTACAGCCAAAAGGGTTAGAATCTTATCTTAAAGGGACAACTGAAATTCTGTTGAAAGTGATAGCCTAACTTCTCGCAGCAGCAAGTATGCAAGTAAGTTTTTCCAAGCCCCTTCAGTAAGTGCAACATTGTTTTACTTGTATTAGGCATCTCTAAAATTGCTATTATAAACAGATCTGAATACACACTGACCATGTTTTAATTTTAAAAATCAAGCTGGAGCACCCAAAAAACATTCACTTTTGAAATACGCATATTTCAAGTATGAATTACTCGTTATCCTTGGAAATATTTTATACTGGAGTCTCTTGTAAGGGGGAGGGCAATCCACTGTAATACATATTCTACTTAAAATCTACACTTATAGGAGGCAGCTACTTTTAAGATTCAGACAGACAGACTGTGCAAGTCCAATTACAGTTTTTAGTTAGACTCAAAAATGATTACACAAAGAAAAAAAGAAAGATGTGTTCCTCGATCAGGCCAGCACCACAGTTCCTTCCTTCTTGGAAGGAAAACAGAGTGATGTGACTGAAGGATTTATGCACCTTTAAGGAAAACACCAAGCAATGAATTTTAAATTGGTATGTTTAAAGCTATTTTGTCTTTCAAGCCTTTACCAAAACCACACTGGAATACACTGAAAAGGGAGAGGATGTCTTACAGCTAAAGAGGAAGAAAATGGAATACATGTATTTGTGATTTCAAGATTAAATGCTAGTGCAGGAAGGAGCCTTTATCAGTTAGGTATGCATGGAACTGCACGAGCATTTTATCTGGAGACTGAAGGGTTTCTAACTCACAACTCACATTTTAGCCACTAGCTAGACTCATTTTAAAGTGAATTTATAAACTTATTCTAAAATTAACTGAAAACATTCTGATATTTGTGGTAATTGAATGCAGAATTAAATATATATAACCCAGGAATTTTGTACCCTTCAATATGGTAGGAAACATTCCTCTAATTTTGAGAGATCAGTTTATAAGAGCCCATGGGAAGCTATAAGAAATCCTGTTACAAACTAAAGATATTTTATCTAAATCTTTCCATGAGAAAGACTCAGATAAACTTGAAATTCTATGAGAGGCATTTCTCATTGTGATTCTGTACATCTCCAGCCCACACAAACCTTGTGCCTTCACTTTTCCTATAGGAAGTTTTCAACATCTCTAGTTAAATGTGTCACTGAGGTTCTAAACATTGTCAGGGCTAGGACCTTGTGTTCCTTTACAGCTGTACTGCACCTACCACATTATAGGCATCACCAGAACCAAATATTCATAGACAATAAATCTACTGAGCCCAATCTTGCAAGCACACCATGTGCAGAATTTACACTAGACATAACAGAAGACCTGCATGTGGAGTGCTCCCAGGACACTACCATAATTTAAAGCTTCCCACACACCCTTCTGAAAAGGAGTTAAAGATTTTCATCCTGCTACAGGAATACCTGAGAACACTGGATTTTTCAACCCATCTTAAAATTCTTACGTCACAGTGTTTCCTTTAGCAACAAGATCCATTAATCTAAGAACTCCATCTTTTTGTCCCTAAGCAGTCATCACATGTGTCTATTAAAACCTTATGTTCATGCCTGAGTGGGTTAAGTCAGTCACTGTCAGTATATTTTCAAGAAACTTATTTGCAGTGAAAATGGCAATAATCCCCTCTAAAGTGAGCAAAGTGTTGGGCAGTAATGATTTAACTACCATATAAAAATCCCTTTAGTGTACATTATTAACAGACAAATGTTCCCACTGAGGTACGTAATCAGACATTCATGCTTGTTTACACATGCTAAGCCAGTCTTCGAAGAGCTACCAATATACAGTCAGCACCTCAGAAACTGACAGTTAAGGAACTTAAGTTCTTGTTAACCCAAACCTCAATTTTCTACATTTAATACCAAAAAGAATGTAGATTAACCAATACTCATTTTCCTGTGCAAATTTCAAGTTCTCCCTGACCATCCTAGTTTTACTAGACAAGAATGAGTTGTGCTGATATTTTTTTTTTAAAGCAACCCACAAGATATACACTTTTTAATCTACGAGGACTAAAACACCTGTTACAAGCACTTTTAATTATTTCTGTAATAGACATGCGAGACGCTGACAAAGATAACATTAAACAAATTGAAATTTAAAAGCCACAACTGCCAGCCCAGCTTAACTGGAAAAATGGACCTGAAAGGTAACTGATCAGATCGAAGGAAGAAGATGCCCCAATTATCAGAAGAAAGGATTGTGCATGTTGAACTCCAAGTGAGCTAAAAATCAGGTTTGGGCCAAAGTTAGCAATTGGCAATGACATCACTTGTTTGTTAAAGGATAAACTCTTGAGCTGATCACTTGCTGCACCAAGTTAGAGCCAACCAACACTGGTCTAAGCACCCCCAGGCTTAGCTCTTCTGTAAGTATTTTGATCAAATGATTATAAATGTTTTGTTACTATTTGAATGCAGTATATTGCTTATTATTTAGGGTTTTAGGCATGTTTAGTGCAATTGTATAAGTACCATTTGGCCTGAAGATCTAATGAAGGAATTTATAGTTAATGTCTAGTAGTATCTTCTATTAATAATAATAATTCCAACATGTATGAAAGCCATGGTTCAAGACACTGTTATATCAACATAATTAAAAGGACACTGTTAAGTAGTTACAGCCAAATAATTAGGGGGATGGAAGGAAGGATGTGGTTTTTTGTTTTTGTTTTTTTTAAATGTATGAAATTACTGGGGGAGGAAGGGAGGAATAAAACATCCTCCTGTAGAGAATTTGAACACTACAGTTTGTGTTAGCACATAGCAACATGATAGTGAAACTGTTCATTTAGTTCTGGTTGTACCTTCAGTGAAACTGGCCCAGAGCAGGTTCTCCCCTCCTTCAGCCCCCAGCAGATAAGGCCAGAAGGGACGTTCTGATCATCCATTCTAGTCTGACCTCCTGCATAACACAGGCCACCGGATTTATTTCAATTATTTCCTGTTTGAACTAGATACAGCAGCTCCTAAACTTTACTGGTTCAGGTGCCACCTTCTTAGAGAAATGAATGGATGGAACAATCAAGCTCAAATACTAACATAGTGCATGAACAATAATTTGGGAACCCCTGAACTTAAAGCATCTCTTAGAAAAACCTTCAATTTTGATTTTAAGATTTCCAGTGATGGGGAATCCACCACAGGCCTTGGTAAGTTTTAATGTCCAAGCTGAGTTACATGCAAGACCTAACCAAATAAGAGTCAAACAAACAAACAAAAAATCAAATTTAATTTGACCAGTATTTAAAACTTGGGTTAAAAAAAGCAGATAGAATTTTCTCTTGACTGCTTACCTTTAATAAGGAACTTCTTGCATGTTTCTGTAAATATGGTATAAAACTGATCAAAGTTTTGGTTTTTTAATCAATATTTAAGAATGAACTATACATAAGAGAAGATGAGGAAGAACAGAGAGGGCACTTGGTTGGTTGAACAAATGGGTGGTTCGTTGGGTGGCAACAGCCCACGGAAAGATAAGGATGGCAATGATGAAGAGTAGCAACAATCAGGCTACCAACTAGTTAAACATCTGTTTTTCTATGTTTATCTATCCAATAGGCTGTAGCAGCTCTCTACACACCATTATCAATACTGGGTATATATTTAGGAAAAATATATTTTGTTTCTCTTATGTACCAATCATGGATTACTTTAAAATAAGCACTGATAAAAAAAAGAAGTGTTGATTATATTGCATGAAGTCTTTCCATAAACCGTCTAATCAACAGCTGATTCTTTGTACAGAATCAATGTTGTGAAAAGGTAACTAAACCACACATACTGTAGAGAATGTCTGAAAGTTTTGGCCACCCTGTTTAAGAATGAGACCATGCCAAAAGTAAGATGTATACAAAAATAACTTACTAACTTTAGTAAGTCAGTCAGCGGCACTGCTATGGGTACCCGCATGGCCCCACAGTATGCCAACATTTTTATGGCGGACTTAGAACAACGCTTCCTTAGCTCTCGTCCCCTAACGCCCCTACTCTACTTGCGCTACATTGATGACATCTTCATCATCTGGACCCATGGAAAAGAAGCCCTTGAGGAATTCCACCATGATTTCAATAATTTCCATCCTACCATCAACCTCAGCCTAGATCAATCCACACAAGCGGTCCATTTCCTGGACACTACTGTGCTAATAAGCGATGGTCACATAAATACCACCCTGTACCGGAAACCTACTGACCGCTACACTTACCTACATGCCTCCAGCTTCCATCCAGGACACACCACACGATCCATTGTCTATATCTTAGAGCTTGGCTGTAACCGCATTTGCTCCAATCCCTCAGATAGAGACAAGCACCTACAAGATCTCTATCAAGCATTCTTAAAACTACAATACCCACCTGCTGAAGTGAAAAAACAGATTGACAGAGCCAGACGAGTACCCAGAAGTCACCTCCTACAAGACAGGGCCAACAAAGAAAATAACAGAACACCACTAGCTGTCACCTTCAGCCCCCAACTAAAACCTCTCCAGCGCATCATTAGAGATCTACAACCTATCCTGAAAGATGATCCTTTACTCTCACAGATCTTGGGAGACAGACCTGTCCTTGCTTACAGACAACCCCCCAACCTAAAGCAAATACTCACCAGCAACCACACATCACTGAACAAAAACACTGACCCAGGAACCTATCCTTGTAACAAAGCCCGATGCCAACTCTGTCCACATATCTATTCAAGTGACACCATCATAGGGCCTAATCACATCAGCCATACCATCAGGGGCTCGTTCACCTGCACATCTACCAATGTGATATATGCCATCATGTGCCAGCAATGCCCCTCTGCCATGTACATTGGCCAAACCGGACAGTCTCTACGCAAAAGAATTAATGGACACAAATCTGACATCAGGAATCATAATACTCAAAAACCAGTGGGAGAACACTTTAACCTGTCTGGCCATTCTATGACAGACCTGCGGGTGGCTATCTTAAAACAGAAAAACTTCAAAAACAGACTCCAACGAGAGACTGCTGAGCTGGAATTGATATGCAAACTAGACACAATCAACTCAGGGCTAAACAGGGATTGGGAATGGCTGAGCCATTACAAACATTGAATCTATCTCCCCTTGTAAGTATTCTCACACTTGCTTCTTATCAAAGTGTCTATACTTGGCTACCTTGATTATCACTTCAAAAGTTTTTTTTCTCTTACTTAATTGGCCTCTCAGAGTTGGTAAGACAACTCCCACCTGTTCATGCTCTCTGTATGTGTGTATATATATCTCCTCGATATGTTTCACTCAATATGCATCCGAAGAAGTGGGTTGTAGCCCACGAAAGCTTATGCTCTAATAAATTTGTTAGTCTCTAAGGTGCCACAAGTACTCCTGTTCTTTTTGCGGATACAGACTAACACGGCTGCTACTCTGAAACCTAACTTTACTAGATAGCATCTCCTTATCCTCCTTTCAACCAGAGCCCTTAACTATCTCCTCCATGCCCAATTTTTTTCTTTACAGGACTTGTGCTCCATTTTATTATTTATTATTATTATTATTGTTATGTATATAGGAGGCCTAAAGACAGTTTTCAGGTTGTTTTTTCTATATGTAAGTTCTGTCCTAATTAGAAGTTTATAAAACGTGACATCATAAGAGTCAAGAAGTGACAGTAAAGCAAGGTGAGGAGAAGGGATTATTAGTCCTGATTTAAAACTTGTGTTTTTGTTATCAACATAACTTCAATAGCTAACTTTGTGAATAATAGAAGCCTTTGCTAATGATTCAGCACCTTTGTGCACTCAAGGCATTACACTTTCACAAAACAGTTTCCCAAGACTTCCAGACATATTATGTCTGGTCATCCCTAGTTGGAGGATCTCTGGGATTTCTAAATGTGTGTGTGTGTAAAAATGAGGGAGGGGGGGTTGAAAGACTGTTTCAAGGCTTCTTTAGCCATTAGACACATACCAAAAAGGACAAGCCCAACTTTTTTTTCAGTTTCCCGCCCCAGAATCCCCTACAGTTCAAATTTAATGAACTACAGATTCTATACTGTGCCCTAATGCCCACCACCACATCTACCTTGCACAAATACATGTGAATGCTCTGACCCATAAAGAAGTTGTACTAAATCTTGGAACATATGCCAGATCATGACACCAGGATCTGGTGCAATCCAAGATCTATGAACATTCACCAAATTCAGGAGGCAAGCAGCTAGTACTAAAGAGCCCTATAGCGAGACAGGGTCTCAAGTTCATCATTAAAAGCAGGTCCATTTACAATCTGTAAGCCCTGAACAGCTCCTGCTAGGGTTCTCAAACTTTTGTACTGGTGACCCCTTTCACATGGCAAGCTTCTGAGTGTTTAACACCATTATAAATGCTGGAGGCAAAGCAGGGTTGGGGTGGAAGTTGCCAGCTCACAACCCCCCATGTAATAACCTCGTGACTCCCTGAGGGGTCCCGACCCCCAGTTTGAGAACCCTTGAGCTAGTGGATGGTATCTGGCAGAGCTGCTTGCCTCTCCTCCAGGTCCTGTACGGCAGGTGAAGAGGTCAGATCAAGCTAGCCCTTGAGGGTATGTCAATACTGCACTGTCAACTCGTGTCTGGTCTTATGGACTGTTTCCAAGCACATGCCTGAGCAGCCACACTGCACGGTCAACAACTGCTGGACCTGGGTCTCACAGCCCTACTGATGCGTCCATCCAGCCCTACACACACCTGCTGCCCCGGCTGTGCTGCTTCAGCTGCAGCCACACTGCAAAATGACCGGGCTCCAGCCCGAGTCACACCAGGACTCAGGCCCGGACCCTCCTCACTGGCAAGATCCCAGCGGCGGGATCCGGAGCGCTTGCGGCGCTGACCCGAGCCCGGCAGAGCGGCGTGGGCCCGGGGGGGAGCCCGGACGTGGTCGCAGCAAAGGTGCCAGGTCAGCCGGGCCCGGGGAGAGGCGGGGCGGAGTCTCCCCACTACCAGCCCCCCCGGGGGGGAGCCCCTGTGGGCTTGGCTCACGGGCTGCCAAGTCACGGGGGCTTCTTAGCCTAGCGCCAGGCGGGCCCGGGGGGGGCGGGGCGGGGGGGGGCCGCGGGCTGGGCACTGGCACAGGAGCCCGCCACTCCCCGCCAGGGGGACACAGCCCTGGCGGCTCCCGCAGCGCTTCCTATGGCCCGGGGACCCCCACTCACCTTCATGGCCGCTCCCGCCTCGCCTCCTCCAGGGGGGACGGCGAGCCCAGCACCCTCACATCCCACCGGGCCCCGCCCTGCGCGGCGTCCGGAGCGCCGCCTCACGGAGGGCGGGACAGGCCGCCTCCTCCCACCCCCATTGGTCGCCCCTCAGCCAATGAGCGTGAGAATGTCCAGCGGACGCTCCAATCGGAGGAGCGGGCGCATCCATTCCAGGGGGAGGGGGACGAGTCCATTCAATGGGGGGTGGTGAGTGAATGTTAGGGCCTCCACAGTCCCCTCCCCCAGGGAGGAGCTGGGCCGGGCGGGGCAGAGCGGGGCTCGGCTCAGGGGCGATCCCAGCTGAGGGGCCAAGCCTCGGGGGCAGCCCCATCGCTGCAGCACCTGCATCAGTGGGGGAGATCGTCTCTGGAGCGGACCAGAACCGAGCCGCCCGGGACACCCCACCTGGGCCCGTCTCTAGACCGGACCCGATCCGAACCGATCTCCCACCGCCCCGCACACCCCGTCTGGGTCCGTCTCTCCAACAGAGCGGGACCGACTTCCCAATGCCCCGGGCACCCCGCCTGAGCCCATCTCCGTTAGAGACCGGAATCAACCTCCCAATCCCCCACATTGCCCCATCTCGATAATGGACCAGAATCAACCATGCCCGTCACCCTAGATGCCATGCCTGGCCCCATCTCTGTAAGACCAGAACTGACCTCCGCTGCCAGCCCAGACACCACGCCTGCCCCCCACTCTATAACGGACCTCACGATGCCCCAGGCACCACACCTGGCCCTGTCTCTATAAAAGACTGGAAACAACCTCTCAATGCCATGCCTGCCCCATCTCTGTAACAGATTGGAACCTCTTCCCCCACTCCCAATGCCCTAGACTTCAGGCCTGGATCCATCTTTGTAACTGACCAGAACCAACTTCACCCACTTCCAATGCCCCAGAAGTCATGTCTGGCCCGATCTCAGTAATGGACCAGAACCAACCTTATCCCTGCTCCAGATGCCAAGCCTGGCTCCATCTCTGCAAAGGACCTTTATCAACCTCCTCTTGATCCCAATATCTTGAATATTATGCCTGTCCTCATCTGTATAATGGACATGGACCAACCTGGCCCATTTATAATCCTGATATACGATATTTTCCCCCCAGGATAGACTATAAAGAGTTATAAGTCTGTGAGCAGCCTCCAGAGAAGTGATATCCCTGCTCCATCCTGATGAGAACAACCTTCATGAAAACAGGAGATCACAACATGCCATGCACCACTTTTAACAAATGACCTATAGAGGCAATGGATCACAGCATATCATGCTCCATCTTGACCTAATCTGCCTTTCATCTATCTACATATAGTATTTCTAAGGTGCCCCTTGACACCTAAGCTTGACTCTACTGTAGCAAGGAAAATTCTATACAACCCCCTCATCCCATGTTAATGGAACATATTGATTAAGAATTAATATGCTCAGAAACTGGAACTCCACAACAAATGTTTTCACAGCAAATGCACATATACAGTAAAGCATAAAGTTAACAGCTGATACAGAAATACAGACTATTACATAAACTGAAGGGGACAGAGGATAATTGCTGTGCAACTATAATTTATTCTTCTGACCTTTGAACAACAAATTCTCCACTACAACATTGTTTTATTTGCAGCGAATGCAAAAAATAATGCAGTGTTCTCTGAGTTTTTGGCTCTGTTGAGACATAATCAATTGTTTTTTTATTTTGGAACAGGTATGCAGCAAAATGCAAAGTGATTAAAGAGAGAGTAAAAAAAAAAAAAAACGGAAAGTGAAAACAAGAGAATATCAACATCTGGAGTTAGTAAGAGAGGCAGGAGGACAGGTAAAACCATCCTCAGTATCCTAGCTATGCTGTAACAAAGTGTGACTTTTTCATCTTGAGTTAATATAAAGGGAATAGAGGGTCATAAGAAAAACAGTTAATAAAAGGCATGCATTCAAATTCTCTTTCATAAATGCAGGAATGCAAACAGCTCTCTGAAGCCAACTGGGATGTAATCAAGAATCCCTAGTTATTTAAATTTTCATAATACAATCAATCTAGTGTTTAAACACATTTTGGCAAGTAAAGAATGCTTCCACAAAAGGATATTGATGAAAGAATGGTAGGATATTACCTGTTCAGACAAGCTCAGAGGTCTCGTCTGTCACAAAGAGAAAGTGAAAGTGCGTCAACAGCAATGCATTATCTAAGGAGGAACATTTATAATCTTCTGGAGAATTAAGGTGCCCCCTATGCTGAAGTGGGATTTTTTAATATGTTTATGAATCCTACACATTCCTTGTTACTGTGCTTTGTATGGCTACTTAATGGGGGCAAAAAGGGTTGTGTGTGCTCTTGGGGCAGAACAGGAGACAGTGGAACAATCAACAATCAACACTTCAGGACTGAACAATCAACACTTAACAGCTGGAATTTCCAGCAGGTGGTATGTGAACTCAGAGTAGTTCACCTTGAACTGACACAGGAGACAGAGCCTGAAATGGAGTTCATAGCAGCTTGGCTGGCTGATGGCACTGGCTTGGCTAAATGGCCTATGTTGTAACCTTTATTCTGTATGCTAACCTAAGGACCCGGGATGCTGTGTTCCAGTTGACTAATCTACCTATGTTTTGAAAAGGTTGCTGGGTGTCACTGCATATACTTGCTGAGGTGCTTGAGTCCCTGAAGAGTATACAAATCTGACCAGAAGTCTATATCATTTGGACTTGCTGGGCAGAACTCATGGTGTGAAGGCTCAGAGGCTCATCTGAGAGACAATGAAGCTGTATGTCCTAGCCTGAAGGCAGAGTGCAGGCAAGGCCTATCAGAATTTCCCCATATGGGTATGACAAGCACCTCAGTTCTGATTTACAACCCCACTCACTGACAGTTCTAGTCCAGAGATAATGTTAAGGTAGTTTTATTACCAAAACAGAATTAGAAACCAAAACTCTTAAGGGCAAAAGGCCAAGGCATTCACTGTTCCACCAAGCTCTCTGGTCATAATCTTTAAGTAGCAGAAAAGAAGGTTTACTATTTGGCATCCAGTTTCAACTAACTCCTAGATTCCTACTGCTAAATAATCTTTCCTACCTTGTGCTTTGAATACATAAAATCATCTGTTGAATCTGGACACATGGAGCCCAATCTTTCAGTTTTTAATGGGAATTTTGCCCTGAACCAAAAAGTGAGTGTTTTAAAGGAGAGCATGGCACACAAGGTAAGGAAGGAAATTCCAACCATAAAGGGATAACCAAGCGCAACAGGAAGTGAAATTTTGGCCAAGAACACCCAGGCAAACCCCTACTCTGCTACAAAGTGTTATGGGATCTTCCATATTTGTACAGAGCAGACTGGACATTGAACATTCAGATCTCACTCAAGAATTAGCCCAAAATCTCAATGTGAACCTCACATCAGAATTACAGTTTCACCTGCTTTGGCATCAAGACCACAGGTCTCATATGATATTGATGCAAACCCAGAGACCGATCAACATTTTCACTCCAAACTGGGCCCAGGCTCATTGGAAAGATTCATGCTCCTCAGCAAGCTTTCAATGAACATACCCAGGGCTTTTTGTATGTTGCATAATGTCAAATTTTGCTGTAAATATCTTGCACAGCTGGTTAACACACTCCAAAAGCAGAATTTTGTTTAAAAAGCCTAATGGGTGTAATGCAGGAACAAATAATGGCATGTGCATTGCTGATTGATGGTGCTTTTCCATACTCCCTTTATTCTGAGATGTTTAATTTATTCTGCTGGTGTGCTGAATTCTTGCCAGGTGTGACTATTTGCTTTTGCTGTGAATTCATTTTTTTGCTCTCTGCTGTCCTCTCCCCATCTGCCTGTCTGAAAGGTTATTTGAAACTGTTTTTATTGACTCCAGTTATTCATGTTATCTGTTTAATCTGCACTGCTCCAGGAACCATAGGGTCACTGCACACAGAAGGTTATAGCATCAGAGTGAGCAAAGAGACTGTGAGGTCAGCAGCTTCAGAGATCAGTGATAGTGTCTGGAAAGAAATAAAGAACTCTAATTGAATGTTCCTAGTAGTGACTTTTACTTCACTAACCATGACTACTTTTGATAAGTGCACAATAGGACTAAACCTTGAAGATCTATGGTGCAAGAATTTCTGAGAATCAGAAGAGTAGTAACTGTTCCCTGAAAAAAGCAGTCCACGCCCAAGAGAAAGGAATTAGGAGCCCCTTGTTCAATGGCTTTGGAATACCTTTTAATTGTTGTGTAACATTTTAAAAGCCTATTAAAAAATTTTGCCCATCTCTACACACATAGACCAAATCAGCATGGACAGTATATGGATGTGGTGTGAAAAATTACTTTTCAGTATAGGACACTTATCTGGGACACATCCAATGCTTACGTACTTTAGCCTGGGAGCTAGGTATATATATTATTTCAGTGAGTAAACCGAGGCAGAGAAATTAACTGACCCACCTACGGCTAAGTAGCAAGCCGGTGACAGAGCCAGGAGTAAAACCCAGCAGTCTTTTCTCCCATTTTTTCCATCTGACAACTAACAATCACCTTTTCACTTAAGAAATTGCTTAAGCCCATTTTAATTAATATTGGTGTCATTTTAATTTTTTTAAAAGCCTTTCCTTCCACCAAACTCAGGCAAAATCTAATCAGAGAAAACTGATCCCTAAAAGATGAGGTTATTCATTAATATTTCAAATTAAGAAATAGTATTATGCTAAAATGCTAAACCTAATTCTGATCTCAGTTACACCACTGAAGTAATGGGAACTACTCTTGATTTACACTGGCCTGAGATCAGAATCTGACCCATAGAGTCTTACTAGCAAAAGCCAGAGCTCCTGGAATTCTGCCCTTAGCAATGGAGCTTTAGATGTGGACTTAATACAAAATGTTGAGTGTTGTGTATTTGAATGTCGTGTATTTGAGCCTAAAGTGACTCCAAAAACTCGAGGCCCTGGTGACAACTATTTAATTGCCATTCTAATCCTAATGTGAAGTGATTTTGATGAACAGATTAGAATTGTAATACGTCATTTGTTATTACTTTT